TTTTTCAAGTAGTGGCAATCACAAAGGCTGCACCGGCCAACAGCACCTCATCCCCGACCTTGCTTGAATTACCACAAAGCCGCATTTATGGAGGCCAGAATGCTGCCGTAGGACAATTTCCTTATCATGTGTTGGTGACACGTCATGGCGACGGGTACATTGTCGTTTGTGGTGGCGCGATCATCTCACAAAATTATGTAGTGACAGCGGCTCATTGTGTGGATGGGTAAGCAACGACTTAATACACAGCAACTACCGAGTTTTTCGATCAGCTTATCTCTTCTTCAGTTATTCCCCTTCAGACTACTGGATTCGTGCTGGCACTGTAAATTTTAACTCCGGTGGCGTGGAAATACAAGTGGCTGAGGTGAAGATCCATCCCGATTATAGCTCATTTAATTACGACATCGCTGTGCTGAGGCTCAGCCATTCACTGGATTTTAATAACAATATAAAACCGATACCACTTGCTAGCATGGAAGTGCCCGAGGGTTCAACAGTGACAGTAACCGGCTGGGGTGGAGTGTCGAGTGGCGGCCTGGCCGATATATTGCAGTATAATACAGAGGAGGCACTAAATCATGACACTTGCGTTAAACGTATGAATGTATTGGCTGAGTCGATGAGATGCCTTGCCAAAAGTGCCGGCAATGGTATTTGTGGTGGTGATTCTGGCGGTCCGGCAGTTCACCGCGGAGTGCTAATTGGTGTATCATCTTTCGGACTTAACGGTTGTGGAAGCGATCTGCCAGATGGTTTTACTAATATTGTGGTAACCAGAGACTGGATACGGGGAAATTCTGATGTTGATTTTTGCTGTGGTGCTTAAAACAAATGCTAGCCCCTTTAGACCAAAAAACAGCGAAATAACTTCACAGATTTTGTGTAAGTCAGTTAGGGTATGTACTTAATCATTTACTGATTTTAAGCTAAATTTAGTTGTGTTTAAAACCATTGTAAATAAATTTAGAAGACACTAATTGCGAACTAAGGACTTTTCGAATTTTCGAAATTCAACAAATAGTGAATTTCCTGAGGAAAAAACGAGCAAATTTTTTTTTTTTCGACCTCGAATTCGGGTTCTGCGATCGAAAAGCTATACGATATTACTTGCTCCCATTAACTGGAAGAAAATGAAGTGCTTTGTTTTTTGGATAAGTTTTAAAAAATTGTATTTCTACAATTTTTAATATTTTCCGAGCTCAAGTCCACATCTAAATCAGACAGAAATTTTTAGTTTTTGCATTCGTTTTTATTTGCCAATATTTCGACTTCATCCTGAAGTCATCCTCTGGCAAAATTCAGGCAAATCGAAGTGCAGCGCATAATTTTGTGAGCCAATGTGCATACAGAGAAAATACTTCCTTAGCAAAAGTTTAATGATTTTTGAAAAGCGTTAATTTACTGCCATTAGGGTGGTACATTAGGCGGATAAGAACAGAGATCAGGCGGGTAAGTACTAGATAGACCATTTTAGGTCAATGAACTTCGGAACAAAAAAAAATATTCTCCTCGCGACAAGAGCGTTCATATACATATACATATATGTGTATTAGTTATACTTTATGAACCGGTCTAATGTATGTATAAAAAATATGCATCCAGCCCCAAGAAAAAAAGAAAATTTAAAATTTCTTAATCAGTATAAAGCTCTCAAGAAACAAATCTACATAGCATTAGGTATGTTTATTTCTTCAAGAAAATTTACAACAACGGTAAGGCACGTGTACAGATATAATAAAAAATATTTCTTGCGATTTTTCTTGAGAGCTGGAAGCTAATAACGTTTTCTTTTCTACAACAAATGCTTCCTTTTCATTGGACTCTTCTTAGCTTAAGCAAAATGTATAAATTGGTATACACTTTGCTTATAGCTAGATGGTACGTATCCTTAGACCTTTCTAGCATAAAAAAATTATTTGCTCGGACTAGGAATCGATAGAAGGACGCGCCTTTAGCAACTCGACTACGAGGTTTTAGATTTTTAAACTATACTTTTTTTATTTAACCTTGAAGGTTGGCTAAACGGTTTTACCCACCGTGAGGCATCATTTTTATAAACATTCTTAGATTTTCAGCTTTCCATTTTTGTATAACTAAACTTGCACAAGTATGCAGTTTAAATATTACTAGGACTTTTCTTTATTTTTTTATATCTTTTTGAGCTTAGGTTTATATGAGAGGTGTGCGTAAAAATAAACCGATTACAGCCATTTTAAGGGCGTTTGCTTATATTATCATTACAAATATATGGCCGAAATTTCGGAGTCGTGCATTCATCGCTGCCCTTTTAATTCTATTTCTAAGCGTTTTTGAGGTTAGGTTTGTATTGGAGGTATGCTTTAAAATAAACCGATCAAAACCATTTATCGTTTTTTTCTTCTTGATTTATGTCCTTAGAGGTTACATACAAAAAAGTTAAACTCTACGCCTACTACTTCTAAGTTTCTCCAAAAAATGTATATGGCTGAATCACTGTGCGGCGCTAGATAAGTATGTACCGCTATTTGTATATTTTAGGACACAAATAAGTATTTCTTCCACTCATTAAGCGACCGTGAATTTTACTTTTACATTGTGGTTTTCCAAGGACACAGCATGACGCACAATGCGCTAGGATTTGTTTAAGTATCAACATATGTAGGTATGTACCTATGTATGAATGTACAAATGTATGTATATACAACTTCAGCAAGATTAATGTGTGGCTTCCTTACTTTTTGGCGTCATAAAAAAGGAAAATTTTCTTGGTGAACCTAAATAAACAATTCCACACTCCCCTCCCACTAAAGCACATAAAAATTGCCACATGTTACATGTTACACAAAATAACTTAAAATAACGTAGAAGCTCAACAGTTTTAAATAAAATATTGCTTGATAAGCCAACATTTGCACAACCACACTTCACTTTTACTCTCGTCTTTGTGGTATTTAATAACACTTTAGAAAACATGAATTGAGGGTTTCCGTTTGCGTATAAGTCCTTGCAGGTATGAATACTTCACTGGCTACAATAGTACAGTACTGTGCAGATAAAAGTTACCACTTTAAAGTAAATTTTTTTTTTTAAATATTTTGTGTCCGTTGACTTGTCATAAGAAAATATAAATTTTTACTTTTCATGAAAGAGACATGGTACTTACTATAGGTTTGATCCGACTTTTGTAAATACCAAAAGAAGAAGACATACTCATGAAAAATTATACCAAAATGATTAGAACGGTGATCTGAGTAGATTTCGCCATTCCCGTATGTCTGTCTGTCAGTCTACGAAAAAAATCGGTTCAGCGCAACATGTAGCATCCAGATATGATATTTTCAGATATGAGATTTTGCGTTGTAACTCCACCACTACAGTGAAAATAATTAACTGGTAGCTTCCATACAACTCGTTCTACATATAAGTGTTATTGCTTTAAAACTCCTTCATATCGACAGCTAAAAGCATGCAATGATGTATTACTTTTCAGTTGAAAGATTTACAAAGGGCTGTGTTGCCATTTTGGAGCTAGATTTAGCTCTTTAATTTTTTATTTAGCTCTAGAAATTGGGATTTAGCTCTTAGCTCTTTTTTTTAGCCCTTTCCAAAATTATCTAACTCCAGAAAGTTTTAGTTGTATTTGGCAATATATTAAAATTAAAAATCTGTAATTTCATTGTACAAGTGATGGCTAAAATTTATTTGGCTTTGGTAATCTCAGGCTATTTTCAATACCTTCATGTTATTCTATTTCGGTTAATTCTTAGAAAAGTTCCTTTCGCAAGCGAATTTAAAATGGGCAAGTAAGTCAATTAGTTTCTCTCTTAGTATTCTCTCTGAGGCGGCAGCCGAAACTTAAGCGTTGATAAAATTACAAATGTCGAAATGCAGCGCAAAAACATACATTTGTATCCACAGGAAAATATAGCTTCCACCATAAACTTTTGGATCTAGTTTAAAGAATTCAAAAATTAATTGGAAAAAATCATTTTCCTGAACGCCCGGATTTTGGTTTTGCATTACTAACTTTACCTTTAAAGCGAGAAGGAAATAAAACCAAATATCTGAAATTGCAGATTTGAACATTTGGTATTAGTTCATTAGTTCATATTTTTAGTTCATTGCCCAGTTTATATAAGTATGTGCCATAGCAACGAATTCGAAATATATGTAGCTTATTTTGGTTTAAAAAATTTCTCAGCATTTGGATTTTTAAAACTTTTTTTTTTTTTTTTAAATTGCGGAAATTGTAAAGACAAAATTACGGCTACAAATTCTGAACTTAAAAAAATGTAGCTCTTCATTTTAGCCACTATTAGCATTATTTAGCTCTTTTTCGACTGTTTTAGCTCCAAACGAAATCCACGTAAGGTATGAAAAACTGACTCATCAAAATATCAAAAAACCCATCATAGCGCGTATCCATTTCAAAAGAATTTTCTGTACTTTTCTCGGCATATAACGGATGTGACTCATTGATTGTAAGAAATTCCCGATTTTTATTCGCAATTCTTTCCGTTTTCGTTCACTTTTATGGTTTTTATACAGACTAGCACTGCCACGAGCTTTTTGTTCGATATTTCGAATAAATGAAGTGTTATACCATCTAGGTGAGCGAGCCTGCGTCTAGCGAGAGCACCACATTCACAAAGAATGTGTTCTGGCGTTTCTTCATCCATCTCATAAAAGCGACAGACGCTTATGTCTGAAAGATTCATTTTACTGCGGTGATAACGCAGGCAACAATGTCCCGTGAAGTACCCAGTGAGAGTACGAAGGTCCTCCCTGCCTAGACTTTTGAGCTCTTTCGAAGCTTATTTTGATAGACAAACGAACTGCTTAGCTTGTCTTTGCCATGGACATTCACTGCAGTGCATATGGAATTTTTTCTACACCCATGATGCGCAGTCCGCAATAAATGCCTTGAAATTCCTAGAAATGACTAGTTTTGGAGCTACTGCGTCCCCCATGTGCATTATAGGTGTATTTGTGATTTTCGTTAGGACCTTCATGTGAACTGTCATGTTTCTGATTTCAATTCGGAAGTATTTAGGATTTTCGTAGCCGAAAGGGTGGCCTCACTCTCTATTAGGATTGGGAAGGGAGGTATACCCCGACAGCACTGAGTGCATCAGCAGGACAGGTCCGAAAAGCCCTCGTTATACCAATGCACACCATTCGGTGCATTTTACTTAGTTTTGTACTAGTCATTTGTCAGTAAGTCAATTTAGGGATTATTACCCATCGCCTTGTTTACGGTTGCAATCAAATGTGCGTTCCAGGTGAGTGTCTTATCCAGCCTGACCCCAGGTATTTTGCTTCATTTAAATTTAGTCAACGATAACTTTTTCCTCCGGATAAACGGAACCAGGATAGTTTTAGTGGAACTAATGGATAAACCTTTGGTGTCAAACCATATACGTGATGCTGCCTCCTATTCTGAAAGACAACTAGAAGGGCGTACCTCCAGCTAGTAATGCATTTTAAGCAGTATTTTTTTCTTCTTTTTTTTCTTCAAATATCAGAAAGGTCTAGCTCTTAAGGCCTCAATTAGAAGGTGAATAACTTTTGTATTTGTCCAATTTGTATGGGTTAATTATTCATAATTAGCAATATGTATGCAGTAGTAACTTTTACCTGCACAGCACTGTAGTTTTAAGCTTGCACAACTCATGTAATGATACGAGTAAAAGATACATACATATATATCGTCGTTTAAAGTGCAAAATCGCGTTTCAACAAAATGCAAAACCGCGTATCAGCAAAATGCAAAACCGCGTATGTGAAGTTGTAGAAATTATTTTCTAGAGTGTAAAAACACTCATATTTCAAAATGCAAAATAAAGCAATCGCATATCTGCCTAGTATATTTCAGGACGAATGTATAAGGATTGAGCCAAGAGCTTGTGTGAGCAAATCCAATTTTTGGCAGCCAATGTCAGTTACGCGGTTTTGCAGAATCACAATACGCGGTTTTGTACTTTAAACGACGATATGTAGT